ATTCTTGTGATTAATAACCCGTAGATTTTTATTAAATAGCATAATTTCAAGTTCCACTTGAGTAAAGGTAGTTTTTTTTTTTGTACTGAAATTAGTAATTTTTTTCATTTAAAAACTGTTTCTTGTAGTTTATTATATTATTTATCTAACATGGACATTAAGGGACTTAATTAAAAAATAAATTCATTCATGGACAAAATCGTGAAATTAATATGAAGACCAAAAGAGCTACAATTAAGGACCTATTTGTGAGAAAAATAAAAATATAAGGACCCAATAATAAAAACAACCACTGCAACAACATCATGCAGCTCTAGATACAAACAGCTCATACTATGAAACAAATCTGCCCATCCAGCATCTATCAAACGGAGTTCACAACAGCACGGTATTATCACACCGCACTGATCTTTCAAAGACAACAAGCATGATAACAACACAAGCTAAGTAGAGCCTTGAATGAAAAGAAGGGCATTTTTTTTAATTCATATTAACAACAACAAAATAACAACCTTGATATTTCTCTCTCAACTTTCTTCTGACAGCAGCAGATTTTGCTCTCCAAAGAGGCAAGCATAGTTGTAAATTATTGCCCAACACAACAAGAGAGAAAGAGGAAGAAACGAACAGCCAAGCCACGACACACAAAGTAGAGATGTAATCAACACCAAGCAAGGCACCGAGAGTGCACAAATACATGAAAACAAAACAGGACAGCAAAGGTGAGGACGAAAGAAATAAACAGACCTGAAAGAGACTAAAATCACCACAGCAATCCCTCTGACGCAAAACTGTGAAAAACTACAGCAAACAATAGAGGCAAGAATAAGCCACAGAGATACAAATTGAGCAAAGATGGAGAGGAAAAATGTAGCGCAACAAAATAGAACCCATGATCAAGAAAGAAAAAAACGAAGAGTGCACATGGAACAAAAATGATTTGAAAACAATGACAAAAGGGAGGGGGATAAAATGACACCCAATAAAATCACACACACACAAATGTTAATCAATGACAGGAACATGTGCAAGCCAAAAAAACAGCCAAGAGATAATACAAATAGCAGTGTAGGTTGAACCATCACGACAAAGAAAAGTAGCCATGTGTGATTATTTTTCTGCATTACATCTAGCACAAAGACAACACAAGCTACCCTACTTAGCTTGTCTGAAAACACCACAACTATCTCTCATCCCAAACGCCTCACATCAGCTAGCAAAACCACCACCAGCACATTCCCCCAACAAAAGCAGACACAAACTCAAAGGGATCGATTTCTAAAGCAAAGAACACGGCACATGAAGCAGTTTCTCATCAATTTTAGATTAAATTTGTTTGTCTGTTTTTATTTTCCAGGCATGTGGCTTAATTGCTTCCTAACCACGTCACTTAATTAAAAAAAACATTGAGCTGCCTTGTTAACTATGTGAAACTTGACAAATGCTTGTATATGATCCACTTCCCCACACAAACTTGACATAAACCAAGATGGCAAAGGACTAAAGAAGACATACAAAAAGACAGCATAGGCAGTAGTTTCGAAGACAATCCCGACCATTTCCCTGCACAATGGCACATGCTATTAAGCAAAACTAATCCTTTCTTCTCGACCAACATCAAAACAAAGAAGAAATTGCACCAAACTTGAGTCTTAAACGGTAAAATTAATAGAAAACTAACTACCTTAGAATGAGAAAATAGCAAGGAAGACAACCAATAAAAAATGGAAGTAGCTTCAATCCCCTGAAGAAAAACATAATGAGCACCCAATAAACAACTATTAGTCAGTACAGAAGCACACAACAAAGCCACGGAGAAAAGGTCAAATAGAAACCAAGGCAACAACACATTAATAAAGACACCTGAGGAAAAAAGACGCATAAACATTATGGAAGGGAGAAATACTAACAAACAAACCTGCAAACTAATTCGCTCCAATAGAAAATAATAACAACAGGAAAAATTTATATGTGGCATCCAAATCCCTATGAAAAAAATTAAAAACATATAAAACCAAGCAATGCACCCTAACCACAAACATCCCAGTAAATATCAGGGGGCTGACACAAAACAGAGGAAGAAAAGACCAAAAAGAACTAAGATTGCAAAAAAGCCAAATGGGAAAGGAATAGTAAACTCATCTGACAATTTCCTAATGAAATTAGACGCCAAAATACCAACTTGGGGCAGCAACAAACCAGAGTATCTGGTCCGAAACCAACTTAACATCAAATCCCCAGAAAAACAGCCCCCATTCTCTCGATGAACAGGACATGGCCAGTGGGTTGTGCATTTAATGCACAACCATCATATACCCAGTAACCATTCCAGAAAAGGTCAACCTAACCATGCAAATCAGCTTCATCTTGCGCCAAAAAAATAAGCAGAAATCACCGACTCCCAGCCACGCCCAACCAAGCCACCATTGCCAAAGGCATTCAAGGAATTAGACCAATTAAAACCCCCTGCCAAGCCACCAAAAGCTTCAAAGAGCTAGGGATAAACCAACAGAGACTAGAGAAATCGGGAGAAGAGACGCGAGAATCCTGGCGAGATCCACTGCTTGAATCCACAGTAGAATAACTCACAGGCCACAGTAAATATCTGATATCGTTTAGCTTTTGTTATAACAATTATAATATAAACCGCCTGTGGAAATTTTTGTCGTCATGATGCATGCAACAAAGCGAGTCTCGTGTTTCGGATTTCGGACATTTAAAGGCCGTTTAGAATTATTCTACACAGAATTTCTTAAAAAACAATGTTTTTTTATATTTTAAAATCATTTTAAAAATATTACTTTCAAAAATAATTTTAAAAAAGTAATAAAATATTATTTTAATATATTTAAAAAAATACATCGAACACTTCCCAACCCTTAAAATCAGAATCTGAAAAATTGGAATCAAGACGAAATAGAATCAGGCAAACTGCTTTGTAAGCAAAGTTAAAAAATTTATATTACGAAAAATGAGAAAACAAACCAATATTTAATGCTGAGGATATCCTACAGACCAAGGGAATGGAGAAGAGTGGACAATTAAAATACCGATCATAGAAAAAAACAGAGAAACCTCGGTCTCTCCCCAGCAAAGACATTTAAAGTATTACATATTTCTCTTAAACCCCTTCTTTAAAACCGGATTCTAGAGACTAGCTCTCGATAAAATTGACAGACCACCCAATCTGAAGGCTTTATAGATAAAAGGCAAGACCTCAAAGACCCCACATCCTCGCATACTGTCAGCCCATCAAATAGTCCGTCTCAGGCTCCTTATAGTTCATACAGAGGAACCAAATTTCTTAATTTAAAACGGCAGGGAGCTGCATGGAATTATGCAGCACCAGAGGCAGTCTCTGACTTGTCTGTCTCCATTGGTTCTCCAGAAGCAGGTGGCACCTCACCACCGGCAGCTCCTGCAGTCTCATGGGCACCAGCGTTAGCATTGGGGTCTGCATTTGCATCTCCTCCCTGCTGTTGTTGTTCGCTACCCTGAGATGGTGGGGTTGCTGGTGTCTCAGGAGTGGTTGGTTTGGCTGGTTTTGGTTTTGGTTTTGTCATTATAGGCCTGCAAAACCTGCAGAAACAAACATTCTATTCTTAATGCTTGACCAAACTCTCACCCTAATAAGGCAAGGAAAAGCAGCTGTATCTTTGCCAGATAGTATCAGATAAGTTCCCCGATAAGAAAGCACTTGAAGTGAAGATAAAACAACAATACCTATCAAGCGCCTCGGCCTTCTTTCTCACATCAGCTGACAGAAGAACTGGAGTAGCATGCTTGGGAAGTGAGTCCTGGTGTTGCTTTTTCTCTCTTAACCAGGCTTCAGCTTCAACACACTCATTCAATACCTATCACATATCAATCAAGATAGCACCTTTAGTTGACACTTTCACCACAAACAACCTTGTACAAAGATCTAATAAGCCTTTACCTTCTGCTTTTCTGCCATGTCAATGTGATCGAATTTAAGATCACCAGACATTGCTGCCTCTCTGTAACTATTAATACAATAAACAAGTTGATCAATCACAGGTCCCCTATCTGTGTACTCCTTGTACCGCTCTT